TCATCTATTCTGCAGTTTTCGATTAAATCTATGTTTTTCATGAATGTATCCGCATCCTGGATAAACTTACATGCTTCAGAAATGACACCAGTTCTGTTGTCATTTGCTAACAAAGTACTGCTGTAGTAGTTGTATGGAAATACTTCCTTTTCACCACATTGTAAGTTAAACATAGCAGGAAATAGTTTAAGCTTCTTATTTATAACACTGTAAGAGTCTTTTATAATAATTGCCCTTCCTTTATATAAGCCAGTTATTTGCATTGTTCGTGAACCTTTAATGATGGGAGTTCCTTTCACTTCTGTCATGTGTCTTAAGATGAAGTTTATGTCATAACTGAGGTTATGGAAATATATTAAACTCTTGTCAGGGAGTCTTTCCAAAAATTCTGTTGCACAGTTCTGACCCCAAATGCTTTCACTCACTGAACCATCTTCACTGTCATAACAGATGTTAAAAGCTTTATGAACTCCATCAGTGCTACATTCAAAGTCAGCAAAGAAAACGTGCTCAGGAATGAACTTGCACTTATTTTTATTTACTTCTTTTGACTCGGCTTTCTTCTTCAGTTGTACACAATACTTTGGAGCATATGTCAAATCTTTAAATGGTGCAAGGTTCTGTTTATATAAGTCAGTCGTATATGTGAAAAGTTCTCCATAAGAAATAGGTTCAAAATATTTGCACCCCCACAATGTTTTCATAACATCCCATAACGGTGTTGTTCTATCATAACGAACTACATATTTGTTCTCTCTTTTTGTATAAATCTTCATTTGTTTCTCAATGTTCATTCCACCACACTCCTTCAAGATTTCTATATAGTTGCGAATGAAATATGTTGTCATTGGTAATCTTTCATTTAGCATGTAGTGGTCTTCAACAAGAAGTAAGTCAATAGTTCGAACAGTTTCACATTCTTTTGGTATGTATCTCTTTATTTCATTATGTCTTGAGTCATTGAAATAACCAATGGTAACATTAAATGCTATACCTGTTGCGTCAGAAATTTCTTGTACTTTACTTTGAGGAAAGTCTCTAACACGAATGACTTCTCTCATGTGGTCAATAGTCTCTCCATCTACTCCAGCCTGAATGCAAGCATAAACGAAGCAGTTATCTTCTGTCATAAGTGTTGCAGTTCTTTTGTTCAGTTCATTGAAGATTTGGTAGCGTTCAAGATTTATAGGTAATGTGCAAAGATACTTCCAGAACTGACCGCTTCTCTTCTTATAAAACTTCTTTTCACCATTATCTTTCCAAAAGCTTTCTATAAGTGCTGGGTTTCCTGTTTGCTTAAGAGCTTCCAAAATGGCTTTCTGGTCATTTGTCAGTGTGCTTTCATCTCTATATGGTCTCTTTTTTGGTTTGCCTTTCTTTACATCTGACATCGTTAAGCCTTCATATTCTGTTAAATCATACATCTTTATTTCAGTAAGATTCTTTATGTTTGTCAAGAAGAAGTCATAGTGCATTTCAACAATACCTGCAGCATTTGCTTCTATCTCTGATATAAAGTTCTCCTTCAAGAGCTGATGTAGTAATGTTCCAATATTATTGAGGTTTAACGTAGAACATTCATACTTTCCACCAAGTTTATAACATACCATCCATCTCTGTTGTGAGTTTATTTTAATTTTCTCTAAGAGTCTCATGAAAACCTTACCGAAATGTTTGTGTAAGTAGTCTCTGTTTGGTTCATCTAAAGCTTCGATGTTAAAGTCAATGAGTCTATTGCCTGACTTCACATTTCTCTTCCTATTCTCTTCATCTTTCTTTAACCATCTCTCACCTTCTTTTGGTTTGTCGTCAATGGAACGAAGGACATCGTTAGCTTTGCGAACTTGTTCTATAGCACTCTTAAACATCTCTCTTCTCTGTTGTTTCAGTGTGTCGTCTCTTCTTCTTGTTTCACCAACGTTCGCATTTATTATGTCAAACATTTCTCTTCTTACTTCATGAGGTACTGAACGTCTATGATATAAGTCAATAGCAACGTCATTTAAAGGAAATGCTCTTGCATGGACTTCGTCCTCGCCGCGTTGCGGCTTTATGAACTCATGAATTCTATCATAAGTTAGTGCACCATTGTAGTCTTTAATGAAGTCAGCGAGTGCTTTTTTGTTTGTCGCGTAATGTTTTGCAACATCTATATTAGCTTCTGTAAGAAGTTGTTTTATTTCCGAGTGTTCTAACTTAGACAACTTCCGATACATCTTTAGTAGGAAATAAAAAAAATATTTTTTGAAAAAATTAGATTAGATTTTTTTTTAAGTTATTTTTCAAAATAATTTAATATTTTTATTTTAATGAAACACATGCAAGATTGCAAGTTCTTTTCATACAATGCTCTCGCTACTGCCATCAAGAATGAGTTCAATAATGCTTCAAATGTTAATGTTATCTTTAACAAGAAGTTTGTGAAAGAATCTAAGTTTGGTCAGTATGTCAGACCATTAGCTATCGTCATTGACCGCAAACGTTATACTTCACAAGAGTTAGCAGTAGTTTTGAAACAAAAGAGTTTCTTCGTGAATGTCAAAGATACTCATTATACTGTCATAAAGAACTCTAACATTGACTTCTTCAGTATTGCTTTAAATCTTTCCGAACAGAAAGAATATAAGAAGGGTGAAACAAATTGAAATATTATCCTTCATCTCTGAAGACAATAACGAACAAAGATGTTATACAGAAATTCTTACCAAAAGGTTGAAGAAGCTTCTATTTGACATTGACGAAGGAAGTGAAATGGTTGAAGAAATAGACACTGAGCTATTTAAGCAAATTTATTTTTGAAGAACTGATGGTGTCACTACGTCACCATGTGTCACCAGGTTAATTAACTTCTCTTAAAAATGATGACAACATGACATTTTGACAACAACAGCAGGATAATGCAAAAATGAATGTTATCGTTAATGTTATCGTTAATGCTTACAGTGTCGAACATAATTGACGTAGGATTCATGACTTCTTCGTAAATGAGTGTAAATATAGCACAAAAATATAATGAGGTGAAGATTGAGATCTCACCCGTTTTTTTCACCTCTTTTTTCACCTCATTCTCTCTTCGTTAATGTTGTCGTGACTTCATTCTTCCTCTTTGAAGTTATCGAAATATTCTGTTATTTTTTCCTTCAGTAATGTTAAGTCTTCTTTGAATGTAAGTATTGTGCAACCTTTGATGTCATAGTGTTTTGAGGAAAGAGTATTTTTGACAATTTCCTTTATTTGCTCATTCGGTGTCATTGAAATCGGTAATTTTCACGATAGAACCAGTTCTGTCAGATTTTAATATTTTAGCTAAGTCATAAAAGCTCTTGTTGTTTCTTCTGACTAAATGCAACATAACCATATCTTTATTTCTTCTTCTTTCTCCAACTCTTCAGTATATATCATATACCTAAACTCTTTCCTTTCCTTTTGGTACTGAACGCGGTATTCTTTTCTGTATGCTTTTGTCTTTGGATTCAATGACTTCATCTTTTGCTTGAAGTTTCTTTTCCAACTCTCCACGTTCTGCTTTATATAGTTCATCAAACATCAGGAAAATATAACAAGCATAACGAGGTGAAGCCCACATTGCTACAGCATTTACTAAAAGTCTATGAACATAATACCCTTTCAAACCAGGAGCCAAATTTCTTGCGATTTTCGTACGGAATCTCTTCTCTCGGTTTTCCGAGGGAAGCAATCATATGAGGAAATTCTTCTAAAAGTTCTTTTGTCTGTTGGTTTTCAAACCAATGATATGCTTGCTTTGTAGAACGAAGAGCATTCATTATACTTTGCATTTGGTACATGTCATCTTTGACTGAACGAATGAGACGTAACTGTTTGTTATACTGTATGTACTCGTATTCTTCATTTATAGCTTCATGGACTATAACTGTTGTTGTGTTCTCTGATGTTGACATTACTGTCTTTACATACAAAATAAAAAAATTGTTAGGAAAAAAATTAGCGTTATTTTCTGACTTTCACAAAAGACCAAAAATAAACGCTTTACATGTATTTTTCAGCAACTTCGTCAAATAATTTTATAGCTTTATCTATCTCATCTACTTCAAACGTTTCTTTACCTTTCGTGGGAGCACCATACATTTTCTCAAAAACTTCAAGCAGTTCTGTTTCAGCAGCTCTCATATCATTAACAAACACAACCTTGACTCTATTGACTGTAGAGTCATATCTTTGAGTTATATTATATGTTCTTCCTATCTTATATCTCTTTGTGTTGAAGTCCTTCGGTTTCTGAACGATATAAAGTAAGCCTTCACTGCAACGTTCTGAGTCGAATGAACCATATGTTATGAAGTTATATCCAACAACTGGGTCTAACCATAACAAAACTATTGGTATAAGACTTTTGTCTATAAGATATGCTCTTGTTCCATGAAATGCTACTGATATCATAAGCTCAGGATTTCTTGTCAAAATTTTCTGAGTTGAAGCATTTCTAACCCAGTCGTTTGTTTTCTTTCCAGATGGAGATATAATGTCTGACAAAGAATATTTGTTGTATTTCTTTGAGTATCTTACGTTTAAATCACCTATTCTAACCACTTTGGTGTCATTGTCTATCTTTCTAACTGTTTCAAACTCAATGTTTGTCATTACTGTCTTTACATACAAAATAAAAAAATAAATAAAAATAAAATTAGCGTTATTTTTCTAACTAATGAAATTCATTATTTTTGTGCTGAATTCACCAAAAATATAATTGAGGTGAAGAGGTGAGATCTCACCTGTTTTTTCACCTGTTTTTTCACCTCTTTTTTCACAAGCCTTTTACATGAATTGTACGATGTATATTTGAAATCCTAAACAATTTCGTAGCTTCTATTTCTTCTTTTAGTACATCGAATGTTTTAATCATGCCGAAAGTCTCTTTATATTTCTTCTTGACGTCAGACAGAAGGAAATCTTCTGCTGTTGGATAGTTTTTATTAAGAAATGTCAACATATCCATTTTATCTTCTGCTGGCTTTTCTGCTTCTTTCTTTAAGTCTGCATAGTCGTTTCTCATACGTTCTATCTCTTTGACTGAGTAGTTATATTTTCTTATTGCTGCTTTACATTTTGAACATTGCGGCATCGTTTTTGCGTTATACATTGAAATAAAACCAGCTAGAACAACTAAGGCGTCAATGGTTTTCTTTAACTCAAAAGCTGCTGGTTTTATCTGTTCATTCCATACTTTACCTCTTCTATCTTTATCTCTTATCTGCCATACACATTTTGCAACTAATGAAACAAAGTTATCGTATGTCTTAAATTCTTCGGATTTGTAAAGGTCAGAAATATTTTTATAAACCATGTCGCAATCTTTGTCCATAACTTTATGGTTGCAATGATATCCTAGAAACTCATAGTTTACCTTTCGTATGAACTTCTTTATTTCTACTGAGTCAGTTGCTTTGACTTCAATTTCGTCGAATTCAGGAATAGTTAGTTTTTGCTGCTGAATTTCAGGTAGTTTAGGCAAATGGTCGATGAGGTCCTCCATTTCATAAAGATACTGTTCATTTGTTTCATCTTTCGCACTACAGTCTAAATTACTTGTTAAAAGTTCTTGCTTTATCTTCTGGATTTCTGTTTCAAAAGTATATGAAGAAGGAATGAAGCTTTTCATCTCTACCAACATTGACGTAGGATTCATGACTAACGAGTTTGGTGCTGTAGTTGTGGACAGAGTCCCGCCGTTCGTGGCTTGAATTGTTGTTGTGCCGATTGTTGAAATCATATCTTTTATACAAAATAAAAAAAATAAATAAAAATAAAACTAACTTTATTTTTTCTATCTTAAGGAAATTCATGAAAATTCACGGGGGTGAAAAAACAGGTGAGATCTCACCTCTTCACCTAAACATTATTTTTGGTGAATTCAGCAACAAAATGAACGAGGTCAGCATGTATGTAAATACCTTTGAATTCATTTATAACGCCCTGAGTAAGCTCATAAAATGCTTGTTTTGAGGTTGAGCCACTTTTGGCTCGACCGTATTCTTTCATCCAAAACTCAAGAATTTCCTGCATGAATTTTCATTTTTATATTATTAATGTTTTCGTACCTGTTGTCAAAATGTCATGTTGTCATCATTTTTAAAAGAAGTTAATTAACCTGGTGACATGGTGACGTGGTGACACTGAAAACATTTATGACAAAAATAAATGGTTCATTTACTCACAATATTTTTGTACAAAACGACCCCAAACTTTTAACTTCTTTTCTGCAGCTTCTAATGCTATCTTAGCGAGTTCATATTCTCTAAATTCTCTCTTTAAATCTTCTTGTTCCCATTGGTCTAGTTCGTATGGAGAATCTCTATAACCATAACATATCTCACGTTCATGTTCTAATTGTTTTTCATGCATTTTTCTAACTTCTTCTTCAAACAAATGTTTAGCATTCTCTACTGTATCTTCGAGTTCTTCTTCATCTAACTTCTCATGAACTTTCTTGTCTTTGGAGTCCATAATTTTTCCAACTGCTATGCAATATTTTGGAGAAGCCCACATTGCTATATAGTTTATAAGTCTTGGGTCTACATACGTTCCTCTAACCTGTTTGATTTCATCAGGAATTCCTGCATGAATTTTGTATAAAAAGCAACCGCCGGAATTCAGACTGTTGCTATATTCTTCACAAAATGCCTTATAATACTCTTCCCAGGACTTATTTTCCAACAACTTTCTAAAGTCTTTCCTAAACTGCTGACACATTTTTGTTGCATTAATGTAACCATCCTTGTCTCTACGTAAGACTTCAATACCATTATAAGTGCCTTTTGTGAATGTTTCGCCATTATATTTGTTAGTGAATGTTTTTGCTTCGACTGACATTTCTGTTCTTACATACAAAATAAAAAAAATAAATAAAAATAAAACTAACTTTATTTTTTCTGTCTTAAGGAAATTCATGAAAATTCACGAGACCCAAAGGGTCTGAGCCGCTAAGCGGCGAGGGTGAAAAAACAGGTGAGAAAACGGGTGAGATCTCACCTCTTCACCTAAAAATTATTTTTGGTGTAAATTTATGAAAACATTAATAATACATGACTGTTCTCATTCATGTCTGATTTACATCTAATGAAAAAGTTTAGAAGAATTTTCTCATTCTTTCTGTCTTATTTTTGTCTTTCCAGTACTCCCGCTCTAATGGTCCCAGATGTGTTGGCTTTGACTCTCTCAAGTTCTTAGATGGTATAACATCTTCAACGCCTCCTTCATATCTTACTTTATAAGTGTCATCGTTTATGTTGTAGCCAAGTATTTCAATAACCACTCCTCGCTTTGCTTCGTCAATGGTTTCAGCAAGTTTGCCATTACTACTTTCGACTAATTTATGACGAGGATAAAACGCAATGGAGTCGTCGGCAGCTTTTATAAGATATCCATTACCTTGCGTAGAGTCTACGATATAATAGTTTCTACTTAACCTTAAACGTTTCTTTGTCAACGGTTTGTCGTCAAGAACTACACGAACTTTTGTACCAGGAATGAGGGTAAATTGTGTTGAATTTCTGATATTTTGTGTTTGGCTTCGTTTCTTTTGTATATACTTTTCTTCTTGTTGTTGTGTCATTGAATTTGGTGTATGCCCTGTTGTAGAATGTGTTGAGGAATTATATACTTCGAGAAAATGTTTCATTGTTTCTTCGGTAAAGTCTCGCTCTTGGTTTAAATCTCTGAGCGTTCTTATGAAGCGGTTTATGATGCCGAGTATGTTATGGTTATGGTCTTCAGTAGTGTAGTGAGTTATGTTATGCTTAATGAGAAAATCTGTGATTTCATTGCTGAGGTATGCACTGTCTTGGTCTGATGTTAAAGTACTTGGGTTATGTTCTGCTACAAACTTTTGTAAAACTCTTAACACTTCACGAGTTCCTTTATTCCTCATTGGATATGCATATGCTTTGCGAGTGTTAACATTAATGAAGATGAGGAATGGGTTATGTCCTCCTTTTCTGCTTTGAATGAGAGTGTCAAATTGGTATGCGTCAGGAGTGTTGGAGTAAATTGGTAAAAAGTAGTCGTAAGGGTTTATTTTTGTTTGATGTACAACATTTTTGTCAAAGAACCTTTTCACTTCAGCTCTGTTAGTAAATCCCCAACTCTTTGCAGCTTCATTGAACTTCTTAAATGACCTCCATGGATGTTGTTCGAATACTTCTTTCAAGCTCATTTATGTAAAATTAAAGATTTTATTCAAGGCTCAAGCGCGTTCATTGAACGCGGTACCATGCGAATATAGTCACAAATGGTGGCATATAATCTGCACCCGAGCCTGTTGGATTTGTTGTGAAAGTGTGTGAATGATTTCCTGTGGTTCCATAGAAAATACCTGCGCTTGAATCTACTGGGTCACTTGAAATATCATATCTATTCATTCCCTGTCTATCTGAACCTGCTGCAAGATTTGTAAAACCTCTTTTTGTTATTGAATGTGTACGATTACCTGTTGTGTTTGTCGTTCCTGTATGAGTGTGCGGTGGAAGGTTTGCTTCTTTAATTTTCTTCGAACCTCCTGTTTGCTTTGAATATCTAGCACAGTATAAGAATTTATCTACAATCTGCTTCCACATACCAAAACCTAAAACTGTTTCTGGATTTGTTGAGTTCATTGACGTATAAATAGAGCCTATAGGATATAATGTTTGAAGTATTTCAGTCTTTAATGTTTGAAGCTCTGTTTTGTCTGCTTTCTTATCTAACATTGCTGGTAGTTCATATGCTTCAAAGTTTCTGGCATGACCTTCAATGTTCATACATCTGTTATCTAAATTGTTAAGAGTATCTTTTACGCTTGTACTCGGATTCTCTAAAGGTGCACTTGAACCAAGGGTATAGTTCAATATTATGTCGTCTGCTCTAACAGTAGTGAAGGATTTATGTGTATGATTTTTGTCAGCTTTCTTATCTAACATTGCTGGTAGTTCATGTGTTTCAAAGTTTCTGACATGACCTTCGATATTCATACATTTGTTATTTAAGGAGTTTAGTGTATCTTTTACGCTTGTACTTGGATTCTCTAAAGGTGCACTTGAACCAAGGGTATAGTTCAATATTATGTCGTCTGCTCTAACAGTAGTGAAGGATTTATGTGTATGGTTCTTGTCAGCTTTACTATTTAATGTAGCTTGAAGTTCATTTATATCGGAGATATTGTGTTTATGAGATTTCAAAACTTTGTTCGTTGCGTCAAGTTCATCTTTGTCAGCTTTACTTTTAATAGCATCTTCAAAAGTTATTTTTGCCTTAACTCTCAAAGTAAATTTTGGTTCAACTAATACACCGTTAACAAAGAAACTAGAGGCATATATTTCATAGTTATAACCAAATGCTTCTTGTGCTTTACCTGTGTCATACTGTACAGTACAGCTTATGTCATAACCTTTAGCACAAATGTATTTATATCTTCTTTCATTAACATCTTCCGTCTTCACTTTTTCATCCTGTGTTAAATATCCATGGTAATCCGTTATAATCTGTTCGTCTGAAGTTATATAATGAACATGGTTCTTGACTCTATCACTCAGAGCTAAAAGCTCATTTTTGTCTGCTTTTTCGGCTAATTTCTCATTAACGTCATTCACTTCTAATTCAACTCTTCCGCCAGAACTCTTATTATCATTAATCTTTTTCATTAATTCGGTAATTACGTCATAAAGACTATATTCTGTTTTCGGTTTTGTAAATAATGAGTCAAAATTTCTTTTCATCATTACATCGCTGACATTAATGATATCACCAATTCCTTTTTCATTTATTCTCTTCATTAATTCTGCAATAATGACGAATATATAATCTGTTAATTTATTCTCTTCATCGAGGGTTATAGAATGTTTTGAAATTGAATCATTAACTCCTCTAAATAAATCAATAACTTCAGGATACACATTTTTAATGTCTCGAATAACCCGACCAGTATCCTGTTGTTCATGTTCTTCGTTCCCGTCGTTACGTGGTTTTATATCTCTAACCATCATCAACGCAGCCATAACCGGAGGGTTTGTTGCTACCTGTTCGAAAATCTGGCCGTTATGTATGGTATATCTAAATAATTTCTTTGTGTTTGTTAAAACATTTGAAACAAGTCTTTTAAAACCATCTACAAAATTTCCCGTTTCACCTAATGTTCTTGCAGCATTTACAAGCTCACCCATTCCAGCTTTTGACCCCAAAAATGTCCATATTGTGTTTATTTCACTCTGTATTGTTGTCCATTCAGCGAAATTAATACCTGCATTCGCTAAGTTGAAAATGAAACTCAGTGGATCGAACTTAATTCCGCCTTCTTTTTCAATTTCAACGAACTCACTAACATGAGATTTTAAGTATTCTTTCGTTAAAATTGTTTTCCCCGATGTTATGTCATTAACGAAACTATCACCGTCAAAAGTTAACGAATTCAATTTCGTCGTTGATGCTTTTATTTCATACACCGCTTTATCGATAGTTTTTGGCTCACCTTCTTTAGAAGCATATGAAACATTAATGAATGAATTATATGTATTCGTGAATGAATTAAAATCAATGATTTTCATTAATGACGCCTTTAATGATTCATTTACTGTCGAATCCCTTAAAGTAATTAATGAACTGTCATTTATGAAAGGTACACTGCAAACTGTCGAGTTTGGATCAAATGCTGTAGTTGGTGCACGAATATTAATGATATAAGTCATTAAATCATTAAGTGACGTAAATAATGTTGTCGTTTTTGATTTAATTTCTTTAGCATCTGTTATATACGGTAATTTTATTTCTGTAGTTTCTGAATTAAAGATATTCGCTAAAATGTTTTGTAAACTGTTTTGAACAGCTGTGTAAACCGTTGAATTCGGAACTCTTACGATTTCACCGTCCTTAATAAAGGGCATTGCACATGGTGTAGTGCTTGGGTCAAATCTTTTTGGGTTATGATTCAACATATATTCTAATGCTTCATAAACAGACCTATATACGGTTGTATTATCTTTTTCAATAATTTCACCGTCCTTTATAAACGGCATAGTACATGGAGTTAAAATAGGGTCAAACTTTTCATAGTCCTTCCATGTTATGTATTTCTCAGTATTTCCATCAGTGATAACAATATATTTGTCAGTAAGTGTGAGAGAGTATTGACCAAAATATAAACGTTTAGCTCTGTCAGCTTCATACGCATATGCAGCTATACTCATATTTTAATGAGAATAAAATGTTGTTCTATTTGTAAAGTACAGACCCAAACGAATACGGGACAGTAAAGCTACAAACAAACTTAGGTCTACAGAATGCGGCGCTTGCATTCAGAATGGTTGACTTCAATACTATCGCTTCATTCGTTATAACAGATGAAACAGATTTCATGGAGATTGAAATAGATGGAAAGAAGCACGAAATAAGATTTCACAATAATGTAGAATATAAGATGGAAACATTAGCTGGAGTGTTAAATGCTCTCATAAATACTACAATAAACAAGGATAACGAAGAAAACTTAATGAATGTTAAACTTATTGCAGGAGTTTTGAAGTTCAGTTATGCGAAGGAGTTTAAGATAACACGAATGAGTCATAGAGTTCAATTGCTTCTGGGAGCATACCATATGACATTTCCTTTGAAAAGTGTTGACAAAACGATTGAGATGAAATCTGTTCCATACGTATGTTATGGCAATTGTTTGTACGTTGAGTCAAAAATAGCTAATGTCACAGGTATTTCAGGAGTTAATAGTAAAGGTTCAGTAGAATATAAATCCTTCTGTTATGCAGTAAATTCAATGTTCATTCCAAACGTTCCTGTCATAGCAACTCATTTAGGTAAATGGGTTCACATTAGTCCTCATAATTTGAAAGACATGCAATTCAGACTTGTTGACTTTCAAGGAGAGCCTGTAGAACTGAAGGCACCAGTGCGAATGACTGTTGAAGTTGACTTTTTAGAAAATATTAAATGCAACGGCTTACAAGAGAACTCAGAGCTAAAAATATAAAGTATGAATGTTATATTTTAGGTCATGAACTTTGGTTGTTGCTGTTTGATGAAACAAATGAGTTAGTTATGTCAGTCAAGAGAACAGAAAAATATTGTGTTAGTGAAAACTGCACCAAGTCAATAAGATTAGGTTTGCATTATGAAGATGAGTTCGATACTGTTGAAGAAGTTTTGGATAGATATTACAAATTGCTTTAATTTACTAAAACATATTTCAAACAAAGCTTATATTCTGTTGAAAGTTTTGTATATTCATTCGAATATTTATACTTAAACTCAACTCCTGTAGTTCCTGGTGTTTCGATTATTCTAATACTACCTATTTTCATGAATATTGGCGTTTGACCACAGCATTCGATTTCAGGGTCGAGATAGTCAATGACACATTGTTTCCCTGTTATTCGTGATATAACATTTTCAAGGTCCTCCTTTGTTAGAATTATTTGGTTCTTGCTTATAAGATTTACCAAAAGCTTCTTATCGTCTTTGAGTAATATTGTTTGGTATAACTGAAGAAGGTAATGGTCTACGTTATCTGAAGGATTTGTTTGAACATTTGTGTAAGGGTTGTCGTTGGCTTCTCTTGAAAGAATTTGGTCCAGTGGTGGATACTCTAACTTAACATCTGATGTAGCGTTAGCGTTTGAAGCTGTGTTTAAATTCACGGATTTCAGCTCTGGTTCTTTTTCTTTCAAACACTCTGAACTATAGTTCTTTATGACAATATTGTTTGTCGTTCGTGAGTCAACATTTGATGTTGGTTCAATTGGAACATTAACGGCACCAGCTAAGATGGATTTGCTTCTCATTTCATATAGAATAAAAACCTTTTATATGTATGAAATGAACAATATACTCGACAAGGGTTTGAATGTAAAGCTAACGAATGAAAATATTGTTGAATTCACTGAGACAGGTGCTGCGTATAAAGATGTAGAATTACTGAACAAAAGAGTTAAGGGAAGAAGCAGGAACATGAACAAAGGGTGGAAGCCTATAAAAATTTATGTCAATGCTGGCTCAGGAGGTTCAAACATAAAGTATGCAGAAAGTTATAGAGTTTATGCTCTCAAAGGTGAAAAGCCTTCATTTAAGAACAGCTATTCTAACGCATATCCTCAAAAGCTAACGGATGGGGAAGTGGATGATATGAATGACAGCAAAAATATTAACAGAAATGGCGACAGAGATGCATGGAATTTGTTTACCATCAGTCAATTGAAGGTTAAACTTTAAAACAATGTTGGTCGTTTCCATGGAATATTTTTGACTTTAATGGTATTAGTCATGATATGAATCTCAAGGTATGAACGAGGAGAGATGAGAGACTTATATGCTTCCCAAATTTCTTCAAAAGGTAATGTTATACCTGACTGTTTCCAAATGAGTTCAATATCATAGCGTGAGAAACCTTGAAAGATAATGAAGTCAGTTATGAGACGTTTTATGTTTAAAGCTAAAAACCTCCATGTTTGCATAAGTATTGCTACAGTTAAATGGTAATGTCTGACTTTAGTTATGATGTTAGCTAATGGTGAGTCAGGCTTTGACACTAAACCTTTTCCAGCGAAGTCGTCACAAACTAATAAAGTGTTTGATGGATACTTTTTGAAGGGGTATTTTGAAAGTTTTGACAGAATGTAGTTTGTAAGTCGTTTCATATCGTAAACTCCTGAGTACTGACGTAAGTGATGTTTGTCAATAATTCTTTCCATCTCTTCTGAAGTCTTTTGCATTCCTGACTGTATGAACTCTACGATGGCATAATATTTCCTCTTACGTCGAATGTAACGTTGAAGAAATTCAATGAGCTCACTATCTGGAACTTTAACGACAGAGGCTTGAACTTTTGACATAAATGTTTTCGCTGTTGAATCCATAGAGTCTGAAGTTGCTGATATAATGATTTGGTCATAGTAAGAGTCATTTCCTAAACGTTCTGTTATAAGAATATGACGAATGAGGTTAAATGTCTTACCTGAACCCATCTTTCCACAATAGAAATAAACACCATTTGAACAGAACTCATAATCTTTGCTGAAAGGAAGAATAAGAGAAGAGTTAAGTTTGTCTGTAGTTTCATTCATGTCTTCATCTACGTCATGTATTAAATGCTTCATTTTATCTCCATTAAAAATGCAAGTCAGAAATATTCAGAACATAGCACCGAGTCTAACTGACAAGAGTATAAAGATATACTATGAACATGTTATGATGAAACCAACCAAAATTCAAGAAAGTCAGTATACTTATGAATATCCAAGACACTGGGTAGAGTATGTAGGAGGTGAGAAAGCTATTGAAATCAGACAAGTTAGAAGTATTCCAGCAGGAAGAACAATATTATTGAAGAACTTTAATGTTTTGAGATATAATGATGAAACAAAGAAGCAAGATAGTTTTCCTGTTGCTGTGTATGTGAACTTAGATACAGGAGATGACATGAAAGTTTTTAATACAAAGCTTCAAACGGTAGTGAGAGAACAACTGACTGCGGAAGGACATCCATTACCTTCAGAAGTTACCATAGCATATATAATTTGAAACAAACTCAATAGATTTTAAAGTCGTCTCTGCAAAGAAGTCAGGTTTTACATTTAATGAAGCAGATGTATATTCGAATGAAAATTTCAAAGCTATTGCATGGTTAGATAATGACGATTGCTTTAAGAAAATATTTAAATACAGTGACTCAACGATGTCAATAGATGACCTTCGTGGAATGTTACCATCGACGTTTACAGTTGAAGGTTCAGCAGGATTGCTTACAAGATTGTCAATTGGTGGCATTTGGTCTCGTGAGAACATTGTTATAAAATCCAGTATAAGTGAATTTGCTGAAGAATCTATATTATGTCTTTCAAACTATATGTATTCGCCACCGAAGCATTATAGTATAACAAACTTTGTCAGTAAGTTTAACATAAGACTTGTCGAACCTTCTTCAATGAAAGATGTTGTGCTACCTAAAGATGGAAAGGATGGACTCATTATTGAAATGATTTTAATTGCATATTAAATGAGCTTGTTCTTGAAGGTCATTCATGATGAAATAACTGTTGTAGAAGATGTTAGCAATTGTTCAGACATTTTGAAGCGTATAGATGATATAAGAAAGAAGTTTATGAATGAGAACGTTTATGTTGATTGACTTTCTCCAGTAACGAGAACTTTTATGAGATAATATTGAAGAGAGATGATTTTAATATGGTGTAAATGGTAGCTTGGGCAGCTTTAGGCGCAATGGGAACAAAAGCATTAGCATTTGGAGCAAAAGCACTTGGAGCTTATGACGCAGTAAATAAAATGAGTGGAGGAAGGGTTTCAAAGACATTAGATGCAAATAAAGGAAAGATTGGAGGCTGGGTTGCAAAGAAGTTAAGATTAAATAAAATAGGGCTCATAAATAAAGCATCCAATTTGGTTGCGACTGAGTCAGAAAATGCTTTAGGAAAGGACGATGAGTTTGCAAAACACGCAAAAGACTTTAATGACCAGATGAAAGGTGAAACAATGCATTTAAATAGATTCGATGGAACTAAAGAAAATGTTTCTTCTCCACCAGTAGTTCTTCCGTATGGTCCCTATGGAATGTATGGAAACCCTTACGAAAGACCATTTGACCCATTGACTGGTGGAAGTAACTGGTATCATTACGGACGAAGAAGAAAGACAGTCAAGTTGGAGACAGACGTGAAGAAAGCAACTAAAAAGAAACCAAGGAAGAGAGTTATAAAGCAATGAATTCAACATGGTGAAAAAAGAGGTTAGATCTCACCACTTCACCTAAATTTATTTTTGTGCTATGTTTTCATACATGTGAGGGTGGTGATATCATTAATTTTTAAGTTTATTTTTACTGACAATTTTTATTTGGATGTAAATGACAGAACAAAAGCAACTCATTCGAATTCCACAGTATAACAAACATACATTTAAACATTTATTCTTCCTTCCTGAGCATAACATGTTCTTTCAAATACATCCGAGACCAGTTGACTTTTCATTGACTGTGTATAAAGATAGAAATAGTTATATCATTAAACCATACGATGACGAAGGTAAGTTATGTAAATTGTACGTTAAGAAGTTAGAGAAAGTTTATGGCTTCAAGTATGACTACAATAGGGTTAACACTGATGATGAAGATATTGAGGAAAATTTATGAGAACATTAGTGAAGTCGTTAGTGAGAACGATAGTGAGAACGATAGTGAGAACGTTTATTTTTACATTATTGAGTTCGTTAGTGAAGTGAAGTGGTTGGCGGCTTTGTAAATATTTAAGGTTAAGTTAGTGTTGTCGTTTGTGTTGTAAAATATACGTTAACGGTTTTGTAAAGTGTCAAATTCACATATCATGGGTAAGGTGGAACGCAGTGCCTCCGTACCCATGATATGTTTACTAACTATCGTAGATCTACGTCATTACATAAATTTCACTCAACCATCAATAGAAAACAGCTACTCAAAACTTAAATCTTTTGGAAGAGTTAAGGGTATAGTAAACTCAAAATTCTAGAGTTTTGAGAGTGCCAATAAACTCTATAGGCCTATATATATCTATATTTTAAAGGAGAGGTTACGCCATAATATTTGATATTATAAATTATTAATTCAAAATAAAAGTAGAAAATGAAACTAATTTTATTCTAACCTATATAAATATATCAATAATCTGAAATGATTATAGTCTGAACTATATTTTACCAGGTTATCAAATATAAGAGAAATGAAATAAGGCATAAAAATATCATAGCATAATTATTGGATAAATGCATTAATAAATTATTTATATCATAATGAGAAAAAATCAAAATAAGAAAATGAGCATAATAATAATTTAATTAAAAACAAAAACAATAAATAAAATGTAATTTTCGTTAATCAAAGTCATCAATGTCTTCGTCTTCTGATTCCCATTCAGACTTGAAAACTTGATAATCTCCTCCTGGTACACTCTGAATGGATTTTTTGTATTTGTTCTGTTTTTTAGAACC